ATGATGACTGGCAATGCAGTCAATGGTACCATCACTCAGCCCTTCTATCAGCGCCTGGCGGTCGGCCTCACTGCGTAATGGTGGTGTTACTTTATAAAGGCTGCTGTATTGCAGCAGTGCTTCATCGTTCAGCGCCAGGTGATAAGGTGTAACTGAGCAGGTCACATCCAGGCCTTCTGCTTTGGCCGCGCGGATCATCGCTACACTTTCAGCCGCAGAGATACCGGTGATGTGTAGCCGGGAGCCGGTATAACGTACCAGTTCTATATCGCGGTGTACCATTAAGGTTTCGGCCAGTGCCGGGATGCCGGGCATACCCAGCCGGGTGGAGATTTCCCCTTCATGCATCAGCCCGCCAGCCGAAAGGCTGGTATCAACCGGCATTTGAAGGATGATGCCCTTAAACGCTTTTACATATTCCAGTGCTTTCAGCAGTAAGCTACTGTTTTGTACGGGGTGCCAGCCATCGGTAAAGGCAATGGCTCCGTGTGCACGCATATCCAGCATTTCGGCCAGCGCCTTGCCGGCAATTTCACGGCTCACGGCACCTAGTGGATGCAGGCGTACGGTATGGCCGGCAACTCTTTGCAACAGGGCCTGTACGCCACTTTTGCTATCGATAACCGGGTTGGTATTAGGGAGGAGCAATACATCGGTAAAGCCACCCGCGCGGGCGGCATCCAGTCCTGAAGCGATGGTTTCCTTATGCTCATAACCGGGTTCACAATAGTCGGCAAATAAGTCTACCCAGCCAGTGCTGAGGGTAAGCCCGGGAACAGCTATTTCCGGGACATTGTCTGTGTTTTCAATTGAAGATGAGATAGAGACGATCCGCCCCTCTTTAATTAAAATATCTGCTGACTGACCATGAAAGGAAGAAGAAGGATGGATCACTTTTGCCTGACGGAGCAGCATGGACATATTTGAAAATTAGGTGGTTGCAATAGATTGAGACGATTTGCTGCTGACCAGCAGCCAGGTTTCGGCGGCCAGTAAAAGCAGGGCCAAAATTATACAAACTTTCCAAAGGGGAAAAGAAGAGTTGCCATTACCCGCCGGTGTGGCATTAAATTCTTCCAGGCTTTGCCAGCTTGCTTCCTTACCGGCCCATTCTTTTTTAAGCGTATTCATCGTCCAGGTATCCAGGTCAGATTCGGTACGGCTGGCGTTCATAGCGATGAGCACACTATCGCTGGCACCTGCTGCCAGCCGGTAAAATCCGGGTTGCTGTACCGCGGCATCTACCTGCACACTAACGCCGCCGGAAGTGGCCCGTTGCGGAGGGATGGCATCTATACCGGCGCCAAGCACATGGATCACGTTACGGTCGGTCGCATCGGCCAGGGGTACAAAGGCCGATTGCCCGGCACCTGAAGTCAGGGCGTATACATTGCCACCGGTACTTTGTGCGGCCATCTGGTACAGGAAGGGCACGAAGAAATAAGAGGATGGAAAGTTACCGGCGTCCGCGTCTGCGGCGGTTGCAGAAAGGTATAAGGCTCCTTTGGAGGGCGTGTAACGCGCAAAAAACGGATCTCCGTTCCGGAAGCTAAGAATGGCTTGCTGATTGGCGTTCAGCCCGCTTTGCAACTGGTAATGCCAGGAAGCTACAGGCAATTGTACATTTTCAGGAATATGCTCAAAAAGATCTTTTACCAGGTCGCTGCCCTGTTGTAAGGCCGTTGCTGTC